CTAGGAACGGGGAAGTCTAGTGGAGAAGAAAGCGTTTGGGGATTAGCGGAAACCCCAACCCAAATGCAATAATATTACTTTCAAATTTGGATCTTATCCCTTTGATGAGGTATCCCCATTTCCCTTTCTTATTAGGACCATACACTGGCCTAAAAAGACTTCAAAGGCCTTTTTCTATCATAATCCGAAAATCCCTCTGCCAGTCCAGGCTGCAGAACAGTTGTTCTATTTAATGTCGGTTACATTCCTTCTTTGGGTCGCTGCCCATGGAGTTGCTTTTACTTGCAGCTTGACATTTTCCTACTCCCTTTTTAAGCAGCCAAGCCAAGCCAACCCCCGCCCCAGCTCCCCAGCACAGTCATTATGTAATAAATCGAAAACTTTCTGAATCAAGATTGCTTTTGTTATTCATCCCTCGCAGTCCTTTGATTACACACACGATGCAGAACCGTTTGGCAGCCAAGTGTGCAAGCAGGCGGCCGAGGGGAAGGCAGGACGGATTCGAGGGGCAGCGGGCTGCTTGCAGCGAGCGGAGGCAATGGAGAGAGACCGTCAGGTCCCTTTGCAGCAATTCTGTGTGGCAAAACCTTCACGAACAGGGCACCGTCCACCCACTCCCCGTTTGGTGCCCAGACGCCGAGGCCTTGGTCTGTTAAGACACTCTCTCAGCCTCACCTGACTCACAGATCGGTGAATGGAGGAGTAAGGAGCGGTTCACCTACTCCAGAATTCAGCACGTAAGAAAAACTCTTATGATAAGATGGAGGAGGAGAATGATGTAAGCTGCCTTGAGCCCTTTGTAGGAAAAAGGCAGGATATAAATCGATAAATAAATAAATGAACAAACAAACAAAAGGCTCTGCTGGATCAGACCCAGGGTCCAGCCAGTCCAACAGTCCATGCACGTGGGGGGCAAACCAGCTGCCCGCAGGATCCCTCCAGCAGGAGGGGTGCAAGACCTCCTCCTGCCCAGCTCCTCAGCAACTGGAATCAGGGCAGCGAAGGGCCACTAGGATGGTGGCTGGATTGCAGGGAAAGCCGTATGGGGAGAGACTGAGGGAGCTGGGTCTTGGCTACCTTGAGAGGAGGAAGCTCAGAGGGGACCTGTTAGTGACATACAGGTACATGCGGGGGTGCCACGCAGAGGTGGGTCATGACCCTTTTTCCCCTGCAGGGGAGGGCAGGACATGTTCCAATGGAGCAAAGCTCAGGGAACCAAGATTTAGGGTGGATGCCAGGACGGTTAGGACTCCAAGGGCATGGAATGGGCTTCCATGGGAGGTGGTTGAGGCCCCATCGGTGAGGGTGTTCTAGGACAGGCCGGACATGCACATGGTAGGCATCTCATGAGTGGAGCCGACTGGAGCCAGGGGTCAGACTAGATGGCCTGGGAGCCCCTTTTGAGTTGCTCTGCTTCTGTTTTTCTATGTAACTGGTGTATGCAGGCTTGCCAGCTCTGGTGAAGGACGGAGCACATGGGCACCAAGGCTCATAGCCAGAGCTAATCTCCTCTGCCATGAATCTGACCAAATGCCTTTTAGAGTCATCCGGATTGGTATCCATCTCTACTGACGCCCCAAGACGTTTGTAGGGGATGGGATAGAAAAGCTTTTGATTGATTGATTGATTGATTGATTGATAGATAAATAAATAAATAAATAAATAAATAAATCTGCCTGTGAATTCCATAGTTTAACTATACATTGTGCAAAGAAGAACTTCCTTTGATTTGTCCTGCATCGCCTACCTATCTGTTCATAGGACCACCCCATGTTCGAGTGCTATGGATGTCCCTGGGTTAAGAACGCTGGGGTTACAAACAATCCATATTGATGAACATGCAGACTGCCATAAACCCTGTATGAATATTTCTTGGCAAAAAGCTGTGACGATTTCTAGGGAAATATGTGGCACATTTACCAACTTGTCATCAGTGGCCACATAGTTCCCTAGAGATAGCCAAGGAGATAGAGATTCACTAGAGGCATTCATGACTTTTCACTAGAGATAGTCATGGCTATCTCTCGGGGACTATGTGACAAGTTTGACAACTCTTCTCTTAGTGCCTGGATGGTTCCCTAGGGATACAGTAATCATGGCTTTTCATTCCATGGCATCAGCTTGAGCATACCCAAGCCAGTGTGTTTGGGGGCATGTTGTTCCTATGTGGTTTTAATTTACCATTTGCCCTTGTAACCATGGCTCCAAAATGTGAATCTGATGCAAGTGCAGTTGATGCATCAAAGAAGAGGAAAGCAATCATGATGGAAACTAAAGTGGAAATTATAAAGTGACTGGAGAAAGAAGAGAGACTATCTTTATTACTTTAATACTACTGTATTATCATTATTAGAATGCTGCATTGTGTTTAAGATGTTTTAGTGAATATGGAAGTGTTTTGAGTTTTATATACATAGAAAGGTAAAATATGTACATATACTAAGACAAACATTTAGCTTACTCATGTGATCTGACTTGTGTACAAATTTGACAAAACCCCAACACCCAAACCCAGCACAGCTGGCTGAAAAGGTACAACCAGCACCCCCCCCCCCCCCCATTCCCCCTGCATCTTGGCTGCGACTGCTTCCCTTCCTTTCCCTCCCTGGGGAGACACTCTCATTTCCAGCATGGGGGGGTGGGCGGGGGGCACTATGAAAAGTGATGGAAGCAGCTTTGTACTTGCTTTTCTTGAAGGTATTCAGGTATTAAGCTTTTGGTTTGCTTCCTGTCTGTCTGTCTCTGTCTCTCTCTGTCTCTCTCTCTTTCTTTCTTTCAATAAGGGCGGTAATTAGGGCTTATCCTTACAGTTTTCCAACTGAGGAGCAGAATGATTGAAACATGTTTGGGTACCGTTATTATGCATATGTATTGTCTAGGTATATGATGGATTGATGGGAATTTGTGATTGCTAATTAACTGTTTTAAATTTGAAAACAATATTGCCGTCTGTATTAAAATTTGTCATATTTTTGGACATCTGAGAGCATCAGCTATTGGGTGGCATGGAAACAAGCCAACCAACCAATCAACCAACATGTATTTTCCCTTCAATTCTTTTGTTCTGTTTCTCAGACTCTTTATAGGGGCAGGTTCCCTCTATGAGAAAAGGATGCATTTTCCTCTTTGTCCATCACCGCCAAGACTGTGGCACTGAAGCTGATGAAACATGGCATACATGCCAAGCACGTGTACCTTTGGGCCTTGGTTGCATGACACATGAATTAATGCTAATTTATGCAAATATATCCATGTGGTGGAACATATTCAGTCACCGGGGCAGCCTTCTTCAACCAGTGCACACAGTCCATACAATCGGAAACTGGGAAGTTTAGTAGGCCAGACAAGAGCGTTATGCTGTCTCTTCCTTGCTATGGGTCAGATACCCCCTGCCCCACTGGGGAATGGAGTGGACACACCTGTCTTTCAGGGGGTCATGAGGGGAACACCCCAGCATGTGCCATGGACGTGACCAAAGGCCCCTATCCTGACACTTGTATATTTTTGAAGGGTTTGCTCTATAAAATAAGAGCTGCTCCTACCCAGGCAAAGCTGGACCTGTTTGCTAGGCACAGATAAAGAGATGCAAATAAAAATTAAGAATGAAACACAAAATTAAAAAGAGATGCCACATCTAATGCTCGGTTTTCAGAACAAAGCCCATTATGCCATCGGTTCTGTGACTGCTGCTAGGTAGGCACAGCTTTAGCAGGAGAAGACCAGCCAGCCTGGATTCTACCATGGGCACAAATCTAAAAGACAAGGGGAACTGGCAAAGAGGGAGTCCCCTTCCTTCCACCCCACGCCTAAAAGCATCACTTTGATTCAATTATGTGGGGTATGCCAGGCCCCGAGGCTCCGAGTTGCTGTAAAGATCTCACAAACCCTTCTTAAAGAGTTGTCCTTCCACAGGGTTGTGTTTTATAGGCTCGGCCTCTTCATTACCCAAGTCACACTACAATGCCTGGGAGCATATTTTTTATCTCATGAGATTGTAATGTACGTCCCATGTGTATACTCAGTCCAGATACACCAGCAGGCTTTCCACAGAAGGCTCTTTAGTAGAGGAGGAAATGATGATCTGTCTATTTATTTAAAATATTTCTAGGCACTCTATCACATCAGAAATAAGTCCTCCCCGCACACCAAGCATTCCTATGGACAAGGGGGATCAAAGCCAGCAGAATCAGTTCTAGGAACAAAACATGTTGTGCTTTCAAGGTAAAACATTGTTCATTATATAACAGTAATTATTTTATGGTGATTTCTTCCTTCCCTGTGTATAGAGGTTGAACACGGATTGCAATAAAACTAGAAGAACAACCAGAAATTATTAAGGTACCCAATCATTTTCCCCTTTCTTCATTAGGGATTCATTTATTTATTAAAAGCTTTTGTATGCCATCCTTTATATAAATATCTCAGGACAGCTTACAGTGCTTTAAAAGAACAATTTAAAACAACAACAACTTCCAATACATGAATTAAAACAGCAATAATGTATAAAACAATAAACAGCAATTAACACAAAAAAAATCACAAAACAAAGCAAAAGCAACTGTACATTAAAAACTATTGCTTTTAAAATGCTGCTTAAATAAAAAGGTTTTGACCTGGCATCAAAAAGAGTATAAGCTTGGCACCAGGCATACCTCTCTGGGAAGTACATTCCAGAGTCTGGGTGCCACCGCAGAGAAGGCCCTGCTCCGAGTTGATGACCTTTTTACCACTTTTATTTAGGGTACTTCCTCTGGGTCAGACTAGGGTAGTCCTTTCAAAGGGGTTGGATTACAGATCCCATAATCCCCCAGCCAGTTACGTTAGCTTAAAAGTATCAGCTTGGACAAGGCTGGCCTAGGTTTTGCAGACTGATTCAAACACATTCCGCAGTATTTTTGTTTATTTTGTTTCTCAAAAAGCACCTCATTAAAAAGGAAGGGAATGAGAGAAAGAGATAGAGAAAGTTGTGGCAGAAGGGTATTTTGCTTTGGGTTTCTTACCTTTTTCTTACTGCAATATATCTGCCATTTCTTCTCTGCCGGAAGTGCAAACATGGCTTCTCTATGCTTATCTGTCAGATCGAGTTCATCCTAGAAAGAAAGAGAGGAAGGGATAAGTTTTGCAGGTCACAAAAATATCCAGTCCGGTGTACTGATTCGCATTACAATCGGGAGGAAATCATTTCCCACAATAGCTTAATTGATTGAGCTTGGTTTCCTCGTTAGCCTGCTACATAAACGAGCGTGGCTCACTACGCTGTGTGCTCCCAATCACTGTTTCTGAGCTGGTGTCACGCTACTTAAGGGCTGTGCTGCTTTCTGGTTTCCTCTGGAGCGTCGCTATGAAATCGAACCAAGCCGAAAGAGCTGCAGTGTAGAAGTCAGAGCACTGAGCTGGGGGGAGCTGGGATCTAGTTCTTTGCAGGAAAAATGGAGGGAGAAAAATAGAATGAAATCAAAACTGGATGTCAGGCCGTATTCTCTGCAGAACACAGGGGGGTCCAGGATGTGTAGTAGGGATGCAGAACCTTTGGTGTAGGGTTGGCCCTCCAGGACTTCCCAAATGGTCAGGCTTTGTTTTCCCCAACAGGCCATCCCAAGGCTGCAATCTGGGATTGTCTGAATGGCTCCACCTCTCGTCCTTTCCCTTTCTCCCAACTGCCCCTCTGAAGGCTTCGTTACTGGCAGGAAAAGCCTTAATTTGCTGGCCTTTGTGGTCCACCTCTGCAGGTGGGCTCTGCCCTCCACTGGCATGTGCCCCAGGTGCTTCTCCAAAATGGAATTCTGTTTGAACCCTTGATGTAGATTTATAGCCAGGCAATGTAGGGCGAAGACAGCCTTCATTTTAACCATACCTCTAGGCAATCATTCCTGATTGGTGAATATCTCAGGAAGGGCCAGGTATCACAAATTGTCACACCACATCTGCAACTCACTAATATCTGACCCTTTCCAATCCTGCACAATTTCTAAGCAGTACAGTACAATTCTGAAAGGAGGGTTCCTCACGCTGCTTCGGTAGCAGGAACCGGCCAGGCAAGGCTGTGCATTTTTGGTGCTCCATAAGTGGGCATCCCCACCAGTGAACAGGTTGGCTGTGGCATCCCCTGCTCTCACCACCATCGTCCCCTGGGGAACATGGAGAGGCAGGCAAACAAGAAGTTGCAGTTGACACGGAATGATCCATTCAAGCTGCGACAACCCAGATTCAGGCTGGACATCAGGAGAAGCTTCCTCACTGTCCGAGCAATACAGCAGTGGGACCAGATGCCCGGAGAGGTGGGGGGCGCTCCCACGCTGGAGACATTCAAGGGAAACTGGACAGCCATCTGAGTGGGATGATGCAACGTGGTGTCCTGCAACAGCAGGGGGTTGGACCCGATGGCCTTCATGGCCCCTTCCAGCTCTCCTATTCTATGGTTATATGATTCCATGAGTGATGGTGTCTCCCCGGAGGCAGTGCACGAGAAAACCTCACAGGTTCAGCACAGCCGCAAAGAGGCTGCACATGGGCAGACAACGGTCATGGGAAGGAATTCCCAGTGACGGCTGCCGCCGGCCCCCCAGTGGTCACAGGAACCGACTGCACGGCAACCGGAAATGGTGGTCACATCCCTAAAGATCAGGCTGAATTGGGAAGGTTTTCTAAAGAAAAACACAACAATGGAACGCTGTGTTCATCATTTCAGTTTGAAATTCTGCCATGCAATCCCTCATGCAATCAGCACACAAGAGTCGACCCATGCAGTTTCAATTAACAATCATGAAGGAGACTAATTAGTAAGCGGGAGATGCCAATTGGCAATTAGCTTTGTAGCCCCTCTGTAATTTGTTTCTGACTAGGCCTGACTGGAGCCTGTGTACAAAGAACAAGAAAATAAACAAGCACGTGGTTAGCTGACCAGGTCTAGCAATCGCCTTTGTGCATCGGAATCAGAAGGCATATAACAATAGTCCCAAATTAGTCTGTCCAAATCTCAGGTTTTCTGATCGGATCTTGCAATCTCTTTGAATGTCACAAGACAGGTTTCGGACCTCAAGGGGTTTTGCAGAAGTTGGAATTGCAAAACTTCCTGGTTTTGCAGAAGTTGGAATTGTCTCCCATGTATACCTTATTTAGAGAAGAAAAAGGTTCCTTCCCAGAATTTTCGGGGACAGTTGTGGCCAAACTTGAAACCGAGCCCCTTACATAGATCAGGATATCCTACTCTCCATTCTGTCCCTATTAAGGAACTGCCAACTTATGCTCCATTTAAAATATCCCCATATTTATTAGTTCCAAAAGAAATCCTGCAAGTAGGTGCCTTCTTCTATACATTTCCCCCCAGAGGACTGAAAAAGCTGTTAAACCTTCAAGGTTAAGAAATTCATTTCCACATCTGGCTTTTGAGCTTACACCATGGAACAAGGTCAGGAGATTTGATTCAGTAGCTCTGTGATTCTTGTAACTGACTGAGAAACTAGTAAATTTACTAACTTCAACCTTAGTAAAGTTTAGCAGAGGGAAGTTTTGCATTTCCTAGAACACCTTCCAGTGTTAGAAGCACAAGGATGGTGGAAGGTGGGGAGGAAGGCAGAGAGACATGCAGAATAACTGAATAATAGAGCCAGGGAAAAGAGGGTCTGCATATTTTTTCTGTGTACCTACAGGATCACGTGCTCCATAAAACAAACCAGAATGCAAAACCAATTTAACATGATGCTACAATTCCCAAGTTCTCATGATTTTGTAGACCGTCTTGTGATTTTACATTTATGAACCCCACCTATTTAATGACCCTAGAGAGCCAATCAAATTTGGAAAGCTAAGAACATTCAGGACAAACCTCTCAATTAGTAGGGTGTGTTCAACTGTCAACAAGCTCACTTTTAATCTATCTTTGATGCCATCCTAAACTTTCCGTGTAGGCTGCACCTCAATTGAGAGCTTCACCTACTGGGTGGTACGGAAATAGAATAAACAGAATTCACTCTGTGAACCTAGTGAACACCCTCTGATTACCCACACATGCCCAGGCAGCATCTGGACTTCAGTGCTCTGTCCTTGTTCTAGGACAGGCTGGTCAAGAACAACGCTTGCACCGCAGAATCACCCATGGCCCAATTATGCGTTGTGTGCAGTGACTTGTGTTATTCCAAAGAATCTTTTTATTGCTTTACAGGATGCAATATCCAGTTTGCATTCTCAGTGGCATATTTGTTAGGAATGTCCATTTTAACCCATTTACCAGCAGTAGGCTGATCAAATAAACCATTTCTACTTATTATGTAATGGGGTCCCCAGCATGGCATTGCACAACCTCCTGAAAAAGATATGTTAGCAATAGCGGCGAATCTCACAAAACTGAAGCTTTTTTTTGAATTTCACAAAAAAGTGGTCTTTGGCTTATACCCCTTTCCAGTGGTTCATTAAGCTAGCTCTCCCAAGTAATAATGGGATAAGAACTGTTCAGTTTTTCAAGACATTTGCTTCTGATATTAATAGGGAAGAATGTTATATTCCAAATTTACAAAGGAATATATTGCATATATATATTACAGTGATGCTTCTTTTGGAATATGAGAGCATTCGCCTGCATTTATACCCACAATTTCATCAAAGGACATTTTCAAAAACAGCTTACCATAGGCACAACATTATAATAAAACCGACATCATAGAATCTAAGCATAATAAAATCAATTAAAAAGGCTAATTCCATCAACTGACAGACTGCAGCTGTAATATGTATTCATCTAATTAGCTCCTAATAAGTTACCTAATTAGTAAATAAATTGCCCTAGAAGGCTTAGAGGACATACTGGCCAAGAAGGAGGACACGAACTTACTGTCCCTTTCCAACAACAGAAAACTCCCTTGACTGCACTCAGACGCAACTAAATTCAGTGCCACCAAGCAACTGAACTACATAATCACACTGTCCACACAGAAATTGTCCTCCACTCCAAGATGTTAAAGTCATGCAGTCTGCACCATCGGTCTATGGACGCAGACAGTTCCAAGCAAGAGCTGGGTTTTGCATTTTCAAAAATTGGGGGTTAACCATTGTTCGTTTCTTGCATCCAGCTGTTGCACGGGCAATCCAGGATATGAGCAGAGAGCCCAGTCTGAATATTTGCAACCCCTTTCCTCCCAAGTTTCACTTTAAGACTCTGACACTGCAGACTCCTTGACTTCTAGATGAATTTTTTCCTCCTTCCCTGCCTGATTAGGAGATCGGCAGTCATGGAAAATGGGCACAGTTTGCAGCCTCTCCATTTACTTAATATACATTTACTTAATATAGGCAATATAGTTAATATAGGTAATATAGTTTTTAGGATTGATATTATGTATTTCATGTGTGTATGTGTGGCTGTGAAAGTTAGACCATACGGAAGGCTGAGCGCCAAAGAACTGAGGCCTTTGAATTGTGGTGCTGGTGGAGACTCCTGCGAGTCCCTTGGACTGCAAGGCGATCAAACCAGTCAGTCCTAGAGGAGATCAACCCTGACTGCTCTTTAGAAGGCCAGATACGTCCATATATGCCCGCCCACCCCTTGAGATCTGCGGGAGAGGCCCTTCTCCGGGAACCCTCCGTGAAGGAAATTAGGAGGGTAAGTACCCGGAGGAGGGCTTTCTCTGTGGTGGCGCCCGATCTATGGAATGCGTTCCCCAGAGAGGTCCGCCTGGCGCCGTCGTTATTTGTTTTTCAGCGCCAGGCGAAGACCTTTTTATTCAAACATCATTTTAACTGTTAATACTATTTATTTATTTTATTCTTCGGCCAGGGCGACTTATTTTATATTGTAAACTTGTTTTATATTTTATTGTATTATATTTTAATTGATATATCTGTGAGCCGCCCCGAGGCTTCGGCGAATGGGGCGGCATAGAAATTTTCTAAATAAATAAATACATACATACATACATACATACATACATACTGAAGATGAAACTCAAATACTTTGGCCACCTAATGAGAAGGAAGGACTCCCTGGAGAAGAGCCTAATGCTGGGAACGATTGATGGGAAAAGAATAAGGGGACGGCAGAGGATGAGGTGGCTGGATGGAGTCACTGAAGCAGATGGTGTGAGCTTAGGTGGAACTC